ATCATAACAGTTTCAAAGATATTAAAACATATATTGATAATTATAGAAGCAGAGGAGTGAATAAGTTGTACCGATATCTCAAATAATAAATTAAATTGCGACGTTTTTACATTGGTTGTTTTAATCTTTCAAAATAGTCCATATAAAAAATATGTAAATTAGGAAACAATCATCAAATCTTAAAATAAAAATTAAGAATTTAGTTAAATATTTTTAATATTGTAATTAAACAACTTACTGTCTAGATTTGCTAAACAATTTACATAAGCCTAACTTATTCATCTAATTCTGAAAATATTATTAAAGTAAGTTGACCTGAGGAAGAACTGCGAGCTAGTTCGAAAACGTTTGTCACCCGCTGTATATTTCTTATACACATTACGCGTCAGTAACAGGTTCAGAGAAGAGAGGATTATTGAAGTACAGTAATGTATGATGATCAATCTTACAAGATAGTAATTAATATATAAATAAAACAAATCCATGACCATAAATAAAAACAAAATTACTTAATGGCTAATTCAAAATAGTTACACACTTTACATTAAAAAATTATTAAAGAATTAATGCAAAAATAACTGTCAATTGGCATTAGCTTGACTTTATTAGTAGAAATAAAATCAAACTAACACCAATAGACAGTTATTTTCCTGTTAATTCTTAATGGCTAAAAAAATCAAATATTGAACAACAATTAAATATGTACTTATCCCTAGCTCTAGATCTTTATTTTTTTATTCCTAATTAAAATGTTTCTTACATAACTCAAAATTATATTTGTAAACTAAATAAATGAAACTTTAATATTTGTCTAAACAGGTATTCATCCATCCAAGACAAATATGCTTTAAAATCCAAAATCATAAAAATTGTATTTTTGTTTATTAGTCTTTTTATTTTGTCTTTTATTATAGTACATAAGGATACTATTATTTTGATAGCCTGTATTTTGTATTCATGGATTTACTTAATTAGATAAATTATTTAAAATAAGTAGATGAAATCCATTAATCCAACTAAAATTAGTAATATGCAAACTTTTTATACTAGTGACAATTTAATTATAAAATATATACCATATGTATTTAACTGCTTACCCTATTAACATTGCTAGATACATCACTAATGTCAAAATATAAAACTGTAATAACTATTTAAATAATTGAAAAAAATTAATTTAATACTCAAATAGTTTCTCATTTAAAAGCTTTATGATTCTTATTAAGATATTAGTAAAATAATACTGATCAAAACTGGTATTTGCATATACTATTACTATATTCAAAGAGTAAAGTTCTATTTTTCTAAGTATGCATATTAATTTTAATTATGTTAATTATCATAAAGCAAAAAGTACTATAATTTTGTGCAGCAGATCTAAGACAATGTATAATTCATGATGACATACATCCAGAAAAAATTGCTAGAATGGAAATAAAACTTTTGTGTAATTCACATACCATATATTCACACCTAGTAATTAAAAGCTCAACACTTACAGTATTATTATATACAGTTCAGAAGATACTATCTCAAACATTAAAACATTTTTCTATTACACTTCAATGTTAATGTAATTATAAAATAAGGGAAACAAAAAGGTAGAATATTGAGAAGGAATCTCCTAAACTGTGTGTGGAAAATACAAATACCTACAAAGAACAAAACTTTATCGCAATGCTTCATTTCTGCTTTATTTATCAAATACTATTAATAAAATAATAATAAATGTTAAAATAAACTTAGAAAATAATCTTAATATTCATGAAACAAAGTATTCATGAAACAACTGTTCAGCTCATATTTGCCATGGAGAACTAAGCTTAGTTCAGATAGACTAGTGAGTGGTGCATAAACTTTTCAAATTGACAGACCAAATTGCACATAAGTCATAAGTAGGAAGATAACAAATATTTTATATAAACCACAATATATTTGATATACATATACAAAAAGTAAGCCTTTTTCTATCATTTATAAGTAATGTATCAAATATGTACATGAGCCAGATTTGATCTGGAGTCATAGTTTGAGAAAGACATTTGCTAGCAAAAGCAGAATGTGAAAAAACATTTTATTTTCACATAGCAAATTTGATTTCCTCTGCTAGTTTTCAACACAAAAACATATGCAAACAACAGCAGATGACATTAAAACAAGATGATGCCTGCTAACAGCCAACTGTTTTTTTTTTTTAAATACTTTTGTTATATTTACTTATTGAAAAAACATTTCAAAATTATTTACAACAATTATAAGAATATAATTAAAGAGTATATTTATTCTTCATCCTATTGTGTTTAAATTTGTCTCTTTCTTAACTGCAGAAATTCATCAATTTGATTAGTAATGAATATTTTTTGCAAGTCTTAAAGTTCAACATGATAAAATGCAAAATCATGATTTGCAAAATAGGAAAACTCACCAGGAAGACTCATTCATCACTGCCAAAGCAATGTTTGTTCTTACAAACATTGCTTTGGCAGTGATGAATAACAATTCAATGTTCATTTCTCTTTCCACTTTTTACCAGCAATTTGCTCTATATAAACTAACTTGTAAGCTTAAAATTATTTTCTATTTAATTTTTTCAAATTTAACATTTTTTAACATTTCTTACTATATATTTAATTAATATTGTTTGAAGTAACAGTAATGAAGCAATGTGATAAAATTTTGTTTGTCAGCAAACAACTTGTTCAAAAAATGTGCTTTCTTATATGATAAAGACTTGATGGATTATAATGATCAGGCCATTCAATAGAATGCTAAAATTGTTTTGTTCATCAAATTAACATTTAGAAAATGTTACATGAAGATTTATTTTACAACTATCTTATAAACATGAAAATTATTTAATAATTTAATTCTTATACAAGTGTCATTAATATATGTAATTAATGAGTCAATATCATAATAAACTGTAATAAAATTATATAATATATAATTAATATAAAATAGATTTCTACACTAGGGTTTAGAAAATGAAGCAAATAAATCAAAACTATAGTATCATCATCTTTAGCTTTGATTTTGTAAGAATTACTTAATGCACCTTAACAATGGGATTTTTAAAGTATTCTAACATTTTCAATCCAGTAAATGGGCTATCCTCAAGACAGCCAGGTGAAGACAGCCAAATGACAAGTACTCGCTCATCTTTCATTTGTCCATGCCTTAAAAGGTCCATTAACCAGGTTGAACACATTAGACTCTTTTTTTTTTTTTTTTTTTAAATCTCACTGATAAGATGAATTAAGTAATTCACTATAGTGACTAGTACATCATCCTGATTTTCTAGGAAAAATAGACAAAAGTAATACTGTTGTATGTAAATAAAATATAACATTACAAAATCAATTCTAGGGCTACAGCTTTAAATGTAAGTAATTATTTTTAGTTATCAAAATTCACATTATATTGGTGAAAGAGTAATGAATTTATAGCTTTAGGAATTATCACATTATGTATTTAAACTGACAAAGTTCTCTGAAACAATGCCATTATACAGATAGGGATAATTACTATTAACTTTCAATTTTCAAGATACAAGTTAAAGTAAGAGAATCTAATATCAATTAAAGCATGAATTGAATGTACAGAAAATGAATAGGAGAGAACTAATGGCAAGGTATGCATATAGATCTTTGGTGGTTTTGGAAAAAATTACAATGACATGAATGAATGTGTAACATATAGAATTTTTTTTACACTTTTTAAAGACACTTATCTAGCCATGTCTAAAGTCATTAAAAATTTGCAACTGCAATTTAAAATCAATATATAAACTACCATATCTTAAAACTCATATTCACTTTTATTTCAAATTGTCTCTTAAACACAAGCTGCAAGAATATCTGATTATAGAATATGATATATTTGTTTGGCAATGTTACTTCATTTAAAAACACTTTGATGGTAAATAAACAGGAAATATATATAAAATATAAACAAAATACAAAAAATAAACAAAATGTACATTAATTAAATTGAAATAAATTTATCTAATGAAAAATCCTTGACTTCAATTATTATGATGAATTAAGTCATTTTTCTTTTAAAGGATGAATTAAAAAATTTTAAAAACACTAGAAAAAAATTAAATTATATACACATACACATACACACATGGTTAATATATTGAGCTGTATTAAACATTACAAAAGTAATGATTTAGCTGAAATACATTTTATATTAAAAGAACATCTAGTAATATTTAAATGACTTTAATATAAAATAAAATTGATAATTTTTAAAAACTAATATTAAATTTAAAAATTTATCTTTTCATAAAATAAACATTTATCCATTGCTGAAGTATTTTATGCGATCATATCAATTCTAATTATAGACGTAATAATAATTTTTATACAGGAAGTTAGAGTTTTAATAGCATTTTTAATTATTATATATTTATTTCATTCTCTTCTTGATTTAAAAGTTCTATAAATTCTTACAATATATTCTTAATTTCAGATAGTGATTGTTATTATTTTTATACAAATTATTTTATTTATCACAAAATATAAAAGTAATTAGAAAAATTTTAAATCCAATTAAGAAGAAAGTTTTCCCAAAGTATAGCTGCAAAAGTAATAAATGAAAGACGTATATATGTGTTTTTAATTGATAAACACCTCATCACCTAAAACAGAGGAAAGAGGAAGGAAAAAAAAAATCTATTATTAATCATGATAACACAGCTTCTGAACTTGTGGATCTAATTTTTTACAGCTCACAAGTTTTTATTTCAATATTTGTATCAGAAATATTTGTAAACACTTAAGTAATATTACAGAAATGTTAAACTTATTTTATTTTTTTTGTAAGGTATATAAAAACTAGGTTTACATAACAAAAAAGTAAACATGTGGCAACTAAACAGAAACATATACTTTGACCTAGCATCTGATGTACTGTATCTTACACTAAATATATGTAAATATATATCATAGACAAAGATATATTTAAGTTTAAAGAATATTCTTTAATCGACCTACCCTTTATATCACTGAATATGATATGAGTTGATATTAACAATACTGAATCTGTATCAAACTTAACTGATTTCGCCAAATTTCATTTTGTTAACATGTGTTATTAATTATACGTGCGGAAGCAAGGCACAATTTTCGACACAAAGGTGCTAAACATTATGTACTTTAAAATATTAAAATAATCTCAAATTTAATGTGTTGATATTCTCGATACTTCAAACCATGTAAGGTCATTACATCCTAAAAACCACGACTTAAAATTCCGTTTCGTACTTTTGTTTATGTCCGCAACTAATTAGTGGCGCTGTAGCGAAATTTTTATATATTTTTATATTTTTTTTGGTTTTTGGTTTTAAATCATCAAATAAAATATTAATATTTATATTAGAGAAAAAATTATATATAAATTAGAAATTAATAATAAAATCTTCATATAAAGATTTATAACTAACAAATCTGTTTGGCGTTATTTATCTTTTGCAGCTAAATCTCCGGATGGCCGAGCGGTCAAGGTGGCAGCCCATCGTTCTGGGAGACCCGGAATCGAATCCGAACGGTTCGAAAAATTCCCAGGAATTTTTTGGGGTGGTCCGTCCGTATATGTCGGGTCCCGTTCCTCGCCACCCGGCTGCCCCATTGTCGGCCTGGCCGAAACCATGCTTGTTATAAGAGGCTTTTTTTGTGCTCACGGGGCGGAAAGAGTTTTAAAAAAAGCTAAACCCTATTTTTCAGCAAATGTAAAATAATTGTAGAAATTACTTTTAAATAGAAATGGTAATCAGCAGAGCAGTAACTAGCCATTCCTGTGCCCTGTGCAAGAATTTGCATTTAGGCCCCTTAATTTATTTGGTTTTGGGAAAATAATAAAACAAATATATTACAATAGATTTTAAATAAGATTTATTTTAATTGAATTTTTCTGGCTTTCATTTCAGCAAATTCATTAATTACACCTTCATAATTAATATTTTTAACCATATTGTATTCTATATTGGTTATTTAATATTTTAATTTTATTTTATCTTATCTTATTCCGTTGCTTATTTAATTTTTAATTTTTGAATTTTGTATTCCATTGATGGAATCCTTTAATTCAAATATGTTCTAAACCTGAAGATGGCCTGTGAATCAGGTTGAAAACGTTTGTTTGAAATAAATTATATTTCTCGGCAAGAATAAGGTGTTAGTTAAATGTATAGTGATTTGCTGAGTACTTTATGATATCATATTGTATTCTATTGAAATAATATAAATATTGGATAATCGTTCTTGTCCGATAGTTGATCTTAAATAATTTTTTATTAAGTTTCACTTGCTAAAACTTCTCTGACACGAAGCAATAGAAACGGAGAGAGTTAGAAATATTCGAAGAGTGACATTGATATTTGGGTAAGATTCAATTAAACCAAAATCACGAAGAGCCTGTAGAATATTAAGCGGAGATGCAGTTTCCATATTTTGTATGAGTCGTTAGTTCAAAATTAAAACTTTCAATTTCACTTGTAAATTCGTAGTTTACTAAATCTTTGCTATATTTAATAGCGAGATCTGCAGCCGAATTTTGAAAATCAGCAACACTCGTGTATTATAAAGACGAGACACAGAGAAAACAAAAATCGTCACAGATAGTTTTCATTTTTTCATAACGCCAATCTATTTGACACAATAGAGCGTCAAGAACACTGTAAATTTGTATTCTAAATAATTTTTCGGGTGTCAAGTTAATTCTTTCATTTTGTGTTTTATCTATTTCCATTATCTCAACTCTTTTTTTTTTTTTCGTTTATTAAGAAATCCCTTTTCTATACTTTTTGGTTTAAGATTATTATCAATACAGTAATAGCATCTGTTAATATTGTTGGCCATAAAACTATATCATTTATTACTTCCAAGTATCTATATATATCGAAGCGTTTTTCTGGATTATTTCTATCTTCTGCGTTTTCGCAATCCCTTTTTACAGTAGCATTTTAAAAACTGCGGGAGCCCCTTCGGGGCCCTACGCACCCGCATAGTTCGCTTACTGTTAATCCGCCTTTCACGTATACACCACATATGCGTACCACTATAAAGAAAAAAATGATGTCAGAATTTCTGCACGCATTTTCTGTAACAGATTTCATAAGAAAAATACAAGAAAATTACTAATTATTCGTTATTTAAGTTTTAAGGTAGTAGACTAAACTAGATTTTTAAATTTTTAAAATGATTTTTCAGTAATAAATTTATATAAGTTAAAGAATGACAAAATCTCCCGCTTGATACTTTTATGATTCATAATATAAAATAAAACTAAAAGTATTAGAAAAAAATTTTTAAATCTGGAAATATAATTGAGATTAATTTGTGAGATATCGGTATATGGTAGATTTTTTACTGATAATTATATATTATCCAAATAGGAAAAACGTAAACTGAACGGAAATTAAAAACGGAAACTGAATATCGCCAATACCGGTTGAAGGAATTGTTAGTTATTCTAATTGATTCATCAATAACAAATTTCCTAAACAAATTCATTTTTAAACTTGTGAATAATATAATTTATTCATTTTATTTTTACAAAATAAGAATTTTTGAAAAGATTAAGATGTTTATATATATTATAAATCTTTCAATTGTTAATATCTCTAAAAAGATTTGAAGATATATTTAGTTCACGTCTAGAATCACATCTAAATGTTGCTATCTGAAATAATTTTTTCGTTGTTGAAATTTGAATTTTATTTTCTTGAGAGGATTGAAATAAGCTTGAAGATAACCGTTTAAGATTGATGATGACAAAAGAAGTTTAAAATGAAAGAAAAATAAATTTCTAAAACTTTATCACGAATTCCAATTTAATTGTACTAAGGAAGAAGGTCCACCAGTGGCCAAGTGGTCTTCGTACCCTGGATACTGGGAGTTCGGCCGTGGGTTCGCGCCTCGCTCTGACGGGTTGGCCACATGGAGTTTTCCGGGCCGAAGCAGATAAGTCGTCAGCCTACTGCCTTGGAGGATCCAGATAGAAATCGGTTTTGTTCCGGGTCGAAAACCCCAGGGATTTTTCATGGGCGGTCTGCTTCAGATATGTTGGGTCCCGTTCCTCACCATCCGACTGCTCTCATTGTGGGTCTGGCTGAATACATTAAGTATAAAAAAAATAAGCTCTCTCCAAGTCACCACAGGGCGGAAGGAGCTAAAATAGTATTAATATATAATTTTTTATATATGTTAGGCTCAAAGACCGAAAACGCTCATTGAGCGAAAAAAAAAAAAACGACTACAACGCGTTGTGGCTAATTCAAAACGACCACAAAGCGGGCCCAGCAGTGGCCGAGTGGTCTTCGTACACTGAACACTGGGAGTTCAGTCGTGGTTTGGCCACGTGGAGTTTTTCGGGTTTTCGCCATGTCTGTAACGCCTAAATAGGGGCAAGTTTCCCTTAAAAAGACCTTAGGCAGATCGCCAAGTGTTGCGTTGCCAAACTAAACGAAAACCGCAAAGCGAATCACGTTATTTGACCACTACGGGCTGCGGTGATTAAGAAACACCAAAACGCGTTCGGAACAGCGGCCGGATGCCCGAGCGGCCAAGATGGCAGCCCACCGTTCTGGGGGACCCGGGCTCGAATTCGAACGGATCCAAAAATCCCCAAGAATTTTTCGGGGGTGGTCCGTTCGGATATGTCGGGCCCCGCCCCTCACCACCCAGCAGCCCCATTGTGGGCCTGGCCGGACCCATAAAGGGCTTGCAAAAAGAGGCCCCCCTAGTACCCACAGGGCGGAAAGAGTTTAAAAAAAAAACGCTTTCCGAACGTTAGTTGATGCAACCACGATAGAGGGTGATACGACGCACAGTGGTTTGTAACTTTAAAATGTGTTCTAGTCTCGAAACATTTTTGTTTACAATTTTTAGTGCTGAACAACATTAGTTCTACAAGTTTTCCTAGAAATTTCATACTTAAAAAATTTCAAAGAAATAAAATGTACGGAGAAAAATACGCATTTGTTTTTTTTTCTTAAAAGTGCTAAAGGTCAAACTATATGTACTAGTAGGTGCTCGATATACTCAACACGATGACATAAAAATCAGCTGCTAAAGTTAAAGTTAAAACCCACTCTGCGACGGATTTATTATGGTTAAAAGCCACTACAAGTTCTGGATATTAACTAGTAACAAGATAAGAAAATAAAACTTTCTTTTTCATTATGATTTATGTATCTTCAATTATATTATGTAAGTAGGTAACAAAATTATTCACCACATACAGAAATGTAACTTGGTTACTTTTCAACATTTAATCATTCCCGAAAATCTGTTGCAGTGCTCGAAATGTCAACATTTTCAAACAACAAATTTACTAAAAATAATTACTTTGTCAAGAGCTTTTATTAAATCAGTCTTTTTATGAGAATCAAGAATGTTGCAGAGTGATTTATTTTTAGAAAAACTATTACAATAATATTTCGAGTTGCATTTTATGTTCTTTGCGCGACATTTGCATTTTTAAAAAATTTTTTTAAATCAATACAGTATCTTTTATAGTGACATATTATAAACCCTTGCTTACTTCCAGATGTTAACATGGATGCTGAGCGAAGTGTTAATGAAGTTGAGGGTACATACGTTCGAAATGTTAATAAAGTGTCAGAAACTGTAAATTCATTACGAGCATAAAGTCGATCAAGAAGACCCTTGTTTCCTAACTGATAGAGACCTGACGGATCAATGCATTACAGCTAAAACATTTCTGGTAGTTGCACGCCCCCCATCATCAGGCACCCTAACTAAAACATTCGAACCAATTTCAACCTGTCCATCGTATCATGGTTGTATCAGCTATCGTTCAGAACGCGTTATAACTTTTCTTCATCACCACAACGCGTAGTGGTCAAATATCATAAAAACCACGACGCGAATTTTGCTTTGTGGTCGTTTCTTTGCTCAATGAGCAAAAACAAAGACAACTATATGTTAGGCTCAAAGACAAACGCTCATTGAGCGTTTGCCTTTGTCTTTGAGCCTAACATATATATTGAGCTTTATATTTTACTATTATACGAATTTCGCTAACTATGGAATTATTAAATACTAGCAGGTGGGCCCGGCGTTGCTCGGGCAAAAGTAACGATAACTAATATAAAGATTATTACGTTATAGCCAACCTTACCCGTTTTCACAGAATGCAAGAATTGGGCCCCCTTGTTTCCAGACTAATTAAAGAATTTTTAGATGGGTCTAAAAATATGTTCGATTTCCCGCAAAAACGAAAAAAACTGCATCTGCGTATTGCACGTCGCT